TAAACCCATGGAAATTTGGATCCTTTTGATTTGGAGATTTCATCTGTAGGATAGTGAAATAATTCTCAAGTGACTATAATCAAGTCTGTTTTCCATGGACTTTTGTTTTTTTTTCTTACATAAAACAGATTAGCAGATCAGCTCTCAAATTGTAAGATATCTGTTAAAAACATTACAACGTTATGTATAAGTCATTCTAGGGTCTGTTCCTTGGTCTGCTTTTTTTAAATTAAAAACTGAAAAAGAAAAGGGAATTTCTAAGTTATCAGTAGAGTTGTTGGAAAGGTTTATTCTCCCTCTCCTCACTTTGCTAGAAATTTAGAGATATCTGGTTGGTTTCCTTGATAGCAGTTGAATTCTTGAGCTTGGATATTTGTTCCTAATATTTAATGCTGTGGAAGCATATCAGGTTAAAAACAGACATTGCATTTGAGGCAGTTCAGAGTCAAAACCTAAGAGCATCAAAGATCTTTTCACACATTGCTATTAATTCCAGGAAAAAGCTATTAAACTGAATTAACCATGATTGTCCCAGGAAAAAAAGGGTTATCTTGTAGGCCTATGCAAATAGGGAAGTATTCGATTTGGATTTGGATTCGGCCGATTCGGAGGACAGCGATTCAATTTGGATCGCTGTCCCAAATCGATTCGGCGCCAAATCAATTCAAAGATTTGTCCCGAATTGATTCAGAGATTCGGCCATCGACTATAATGGGGAATCACTGAAATACCTATAACTGTCATTATTTGGCTGATTCAGATAAAAATTGCAGGAATGGTCGCCCCTTCTGAGGGCATGAAGACTGCCAAGTTTCAGGGAGATAGGTGCAGGGGTTCTGGGAAACTGCACCTCAAGCTGCTGACAAGCTAAACTTGTGTCCTGTATGTGTGTTAAGGCTCAGTGAGGTGACAACTGCAGGCATGCTAGGCCCTGCTGAGGCCACGGAGCCTGCCAGTTTTCAAGGAAATAGGTGCAGGGGTTTCTGGGAAACTGCACCTCAGGCTGCTGACAAGCAAAACTCGTGACATGGGTGACACTGTGTGCGTGTTAAGGCATGCCCTCACTGGCACTGCGGCCTCTACATGACACAGTAGTGTGTCCCAATGAGGTCTTCTCCTCCCCTACAGTTTCAGCCCAGTCCACCACTTTAAATGACAACAAGTAATAAAATAACTTAGTGAGCACTAGCACATTAGCACCAGCAGCATCTCAGGCAGCCAAACTGTGACAGAGCCTTTCTTTCCTCTCCTGCAGGAGCTTCTTTTCCAGCAGCTGCCAGAGAATTCTCCCTGCCAGCCCCAGCCTGGGGCTTAGATGTGCCCAGGGCCCTGCATCCGTCTGGTCAGCTGACCAGGGACAGGTGCTAGGGCTGCTGATCTAAGGACATGACACTGGCAGACAAGGTCCTTTGGGTCAATCTAGTATCTTTCAGTAGACCAACTGAATAGTTAGAGAAATATATCTTAGCAAGCTTTCAGCTTGAAAAACCCTTTGTCAGGTTGAAAAAGTACCTGCAGTTGGCCTGTGTGTGCTGTTCCTGGATGGAAGGAATAGTAAAGAAGCCAGAGCCTGGCATGCAATGCAGGCAAGAAAGGCAGTCAGAGAAAATGGAAATGGAGGTGTCGGGGTGAGGGACAGGCTAGCGTGGGGGGGGTGAAGGGAAGAGGATGTAGCAGCGCAGGTAAAAGTGGAGAGGTATGTGGACAGAGTCAGATGTCCAGCAGGTTGTAGTGTGTCATAAATCCAATGTCTGTATTGAGTCCACAGTGCACCCCCCCCCCCACCTCCACCTGCCAGACATCTGAATCCCCAGGTACCTCTCCACTTCTACCTGCACTGCTACATCCCCACTTGCCCTCCCACCCCACCCTGTCCCTTGCTCCCTGACACCTCCATTTCCATTTTCACTGACTGTCTTTCTTGCCCCAGTCAGGACTGTGTGTGCATGTGGTAGCTGGAGGTTATGGTGCCTCCTACCTACCTTTCACCAGAGAGATCCTCAGTTTTGGCATTTCCTGGTGCTGCCATGCCACCAGCAGTCCCACCAGGCCTCCTGACCCTGACAGAGTGCATTTTTAGTGGCCATGCCCAGGACCTGGGGCTGCCTCCTTCCCCATAGCCCCAGCCCATACCTCCAAGTTCATCCTGGCACAGAAGCTCAGCAGAGACATGTTCTTCCCTTGCTGGCTGGTGATGCAGCAAGTCCCCCTCCAGCTCTGAGAGTGGGGCATTAACTGGTTTAAAAATATAAAATGTAAATAGGCGAGGACGGAGTGAGGAGGGTGGCACTCACTCCGTCTGCAGGTGAAGCTTGGGGAAACCCAGTAGCGGGAGGTTCACCTTGAGGAACACCAGTTGCTCCACCAAACCAGGATGCAA